TCTCTCTCTCTCTCTCTCTCTCTCTCTCTCTCTCTATCTCTATCTCTATCTCTATCTCTAGCTCTCTCTCTAGCTCTCTCTCTCTCTCTCTCTCTCTATCTCTATCTCTATCTCTCTCTCTCTCTCTCTCTCTCTCTCTCTCTATCTATCTCTCTCTCTCTCTCTCTTTCTCTCTCTAACTGTCTCCGCTTTTCGATTCCGCGTTAACGCGTACTTTAATGACCCAACATTTCATTTTGTAAAACACCCGGTTATCGAACAGCATCTGCGGAAAACGCTCGTAACGGTAGAGCAGATATGTCCGCAGTTATTCCATCATGCATGGATGATCTTATTGTAATACGTATATTATCTGACCCGAGACAGTCGACGACGGTTAGATAAGTTTACGATTGCTACAATTTCCAGTCAATGCTTTCCGTCGAGCTAGTTTAACGAGACTAGTCGTTTTTAGGGGAAGTAGTCATTTCGGGTTTATTGAATGTATTTATTAACTTGAATGAGCATTAAGCTGCATGCATCGTTGGGCGCATAAAGTGACAGAAATTGCTTTTGCAGTGGGCAAGTTGCGAAGACCCGGGCACGGAATAGCTCGTTTGAATACAAATAAGCTACTCCACGAAGTTGAAATATCACTTTAGAAATAAAAAGTTGACGTTTCTTGAACTTCTGCAGATTCGTGCAAAAAAATCTGACGGCGTTTCATCTCCGCTCATTTTAAAGGATAACGGCTTTGCTTTCCAATTCCTGAATTTAGTTTCTTTTCTTAATTTTACACGTTATTTGAATTGTGAAGCAATCGGAGCTGGATAATGTTCACAGCGAAAATATTTTAAATACTATTTTAAATCATCGATTCTTCACGATTCAAATAAAATAGTATTTCAAGTAAGACATTAAATTCCAGTAAATAAAACATTTTATTTTCACAGCTAAAACATGAGAAAAATATTTTATTTTGATAAAATGAAATATTTTTTAATTTAATAACGTAAAGCATAAAATAGAATACTTCCGATAGTTCTTGATTCTTACAAATGAAAATTGCCTTCAGAAACATTTACTGAGAAACTATATTAAATATATGATTATATAAGAAAAGAAGTTCT